TTTTTTTTTTGGTCTTGTATATTTAAAAAATTAAACACTTCAGCACTTGTAACTTTCATTTGTCATGACCACCAAAAGCTTAATATTGTCCATACCAGCAGCAAGTAAATTCAACATCTAATCGATAGTAAAAAATTTTTATTTTCATCAATAAAATGAAACTTTTTTTTTTGCTAATTAATAATAAACAAATGAGTGTATATGAAATCCCTTAGGCTGTCTTTGAAAAAATGAAAAACGTTAATTTTTACATTAAAATTTACCTGAACAAAATTCTTCCGTAAATCTATACATCTCAAACTTTTTAAAACTAATTCATTCACAAACTTTTTAAACTTTAAGGATAATACTACATCTTATATTTTTGAAAAATCAAATTTTAATACATTTTATGAATATACAATTTGATCGTAAACTTTTAATATTTATTTGTGGTTGTACGTAATTATGATGTTTTTTTATTGTAGAATTTTAATATTTCTTTATGGTAATTATGATGTTTACAGAAAGCTTTAGTTTCTAAAGCAGTTGCTTGTCCTTTGATAATTATTAAATATGTACAAAAATCGTTGTCTACTTAATTTTGAGATTGTCGAATCATTTTTGTTATAACAGTTTCTAACTTTGGTCTTAATTATTCGGTAAAAATATTGCAAAGTCCAATCCGCTTATTTGTAATCAGTTGCTTATCTATTTGATAATGTACTGCAGGCTACGTTGATTGATAGGCTTAACTCACAAATAAAACTCAATAATCACATATTTTGTTTCATGTCTACGGCACAAACTCACCAATAATGTACGGCACTAAATCTGCTAACACTAACCAACTCGCTGTCTGATTGGCTGACTCAATAATAATATTTTTTTTTCATGTCTACGGCACAAACTCACCAATAATGTACGGCACTAAATCTGCTAACTAACCAACTCGCTGTCTGATTGGCTGACTCAATAATAATATAATTAATTCAATCGTGCTTTTATACATCACAGTACTGCCCCCTCTCCCAAACCTCCCGAATTTTCGAGACGTCACGTGAGAATTAGACATTCAGAAAATTTCTAGACGCCACACTTCATCATTACATCATGCTCTGTTCCATCTAGCAAACAAAACATTTAAATTGATATATTAAAAACATAGCCAACAATATTGTCCTCTCTTTGGATTGTGAAGTCCCTTGAGAAAAGTATATTAAACTTAATCTTACGTAGCTAAGATATAAATAGACACAACAATCACTAAATTACTAACTAACTGGGTTAAACAAAGCATGATTAAAACTGTGATTAACGAAACAAAAGCTTCATTATTTTATTTACTGTGTTTGAACAGTCCATTCACCAAATCTTTTCTTGTTCTTTATTGTCACTTGTTGTCTTGCCACCAGGGGATTTATCTTGAAGTAGATGGTAGTAGTTTTGTGGTTAAATCTTTTTAGAGACATAGGTTACATGATGCCTACATTTTTGAAATTAATTATTAATTCCGGATTCCACACATACACACACACACACACACACATATATATATATATATATATATGAGCGTTTTGATGAGATTTTTAGTGATTTATTTTGTGTACCATGTATATATGTCTAGGTTACAGTTTAAGTTTAAAGAGTCTTCACCTGCAATGGTGTATTTTTAAGCATATTTTGATCTTCCGTGTCTAAAGATGTTTTTTGAGTTAAAAATACATCCAAGAATATTTGCCCATTGTAGTGTATTGTTTTGTATCGTGTTGTGCGGGTATCATTAAAAGTGTGTTATTTGTGAAAAACTCGTGTTTATAACTGTAATTCATAGGGAAATACATCTCAAAACCCAAAATACAAAAACCTCCTGTTGTTAGCGGGCCTAATGTCCCTAATCTGCTGGTAATCCATGAGATACCGTAAGGGTTATCTGCTTTAGACACCCCTAAGTTTGAGCTCATAGACTAGAGCAGGGGTCACCAAACTTTTTTCACAGCGGGCCAGATAACTGAGAGAATGACGAGCGCGGACCGCATAACCATTTTGTTCAATACAATACAGTGAATACACAAAATATAAAGGACAACAAACATGTTTATTTTCCAAAAAGTTATCAAAGAAGGCGACGTTAGCAATAAGATAGTTATATCACACCCAGTGCGCACATATCCGAATCTCACAAACTAAGCAGCAAAAAAGGTTTGTGAGATTTGTGATACTGGCGTTTAGCTTTTGAGATATCATCATTATTTGCTTTGGAATTGCTGCATCCAACCAAGAGAATTGCTTTCAAATGTTCGTCAGTCAACCTCATTCGATGTGTTGACTTCACATAATTCGTTTTTGAAAATGTTTGCTCACAGACATAAGTTGTTCCAAACACTGATGCCATACCAGAGGCAAATTTCTTCAACTTTGAAAACTCAACATCAGTTAAGCAGCGATAAAATTCTACAAGTTTTCCTTCTCTGTGCTTCTCTTTCAACAAGTCATTTGCTTGCAAATCAATGAGCTCCAACTGTAGTTCGACTGGCACGTCATCAAGGTTACAATCAAACGGATTCTGGAACAGAAGAATGTCACTCTCAATTTTGTCGAGATCTAAAAATCTCTCCAAAAAATGCTTATTTAAGTCACTAATAATCTTCTTCGGAAACTCGAGTTTGACATCTTCTGCGATTCCAGCACGAAACTCTTTGAAATACTGAAAA